TATCATCATAAGTATGGATGATACTTCAGTAATGACTTGTGACTATTATAACTACTGATTGACCATCTGTCGTGATTGTTTATAAAAAAAGAAACATCATACTGTGTATTAGTTTACATAGAGCCTGTATACGGTAATACGTATATAACTATTGCTCATGTGCTGAGCCAGGACTAATCTCAAGGTGTCCAACACACAAAGGAGACAGAACGGATTGACAATTATATAATGATATTCGGGAAAACGGCGCTGACGCAGTGCCCATTGTACAATGTCACAGTTGTTAAGGTCACACGATCGACGATAAGGAGGATTACCCTTATCCATATAATATTGATATTTGTGAACAACTCAATAGGGTATAACCAACATGGGTGTAACATGATGATGAGTATTATGACAGGTAGTAGCATGACACTTGTGTTCACATGATCTTCGTTATGGTCACTATTCGCAACATATCTTATAATCAAAGCTGGATAGGCATATAGCGAAGGCCTGATAATAATAATACTAGTAATAAGATATAATATTACTCTTCCAATTACTTGTAGTGCTGATAATGGGTATCTATAATCCATAGTGAACTCATCTTTATTAATTCTCCCAAATTGGAGATATACCACCTCTTCTTCTTCTTCGACCTCATCATTATTTAGTTGATGATGGACACTATTCTTATCATCATCAATTATGCTACTGGTACTGCTGTGGCGGTCCAAGCGAATCAACTGGAAGTTCTTAACTGATGCCTTTGTAACTCGACGATTGAAATTGAGGACGAATGCTCTGAGATTATCGTTCCATTTAGGGTTTTTATTCACATACCTATAATGATGATGAAGAGTATTGGTTATCATCACCATCATCATCGTCATCACAGTACAACATTACATTTGTAGATCAGAAGGTAGTTTAGATAGTGTTGTTCTTGTTCTTGTTGTTGGATGCTGAGTAGTATTGTTATATGATGATGATACTACCACTAGTACAGATGATGAATATTATTGGAGGCACAATCTGGTACATACCATCTTCCCCTTCTTCACGTTTCCTGCTGGTCCTGCTACTGCTGCTCATCATCATCATTTTCTGCTTCTGACGTTGCCTATATTGAGGATGTGATGGTCCAACCTCATGAATAACGAGGCCCTTCTGAAACAATA